GGGGAGGAGAAAGGAGGGGAGGGGAGGGGAGGGGCGGGGGATGAAAGGAGGGAGGAGGAAGCTTGCCGACCCACAGCCTACAGCGAGGACTTCTGGCGGGCAGTGGGCTTCTGCCCTGGCGGCATCCCTGAAACGCGCCGGGCCCATTTCCGAGGGCCTCGCTCCTGCGCCCCGAGCTGGCGACTCTCCTTTCCGGAGAGCTTTTCCAAGGGCGCGGGAAGAGCGGTAAATGTCACAGGAAGGCCGGTAGTTTAGGGCTGGTGCTGAACCCGTTTCAGCGCAGTGCGCGCTCAGGGCTGCGAGGAATCAATTCGAAACCTCTGCTTTGGAACAGAGCCGGTTATTTCAGCGCTGAAGCCAGAGGGCGAGGACAGCCCAGAAGGAACACGGCAACTGCCTGCGTGTGGGACCCGGGCCGCATATTCCTGGCTGCAGGACAGAACTCTGGAACTCATTTGTTTGTTTTTGCAGTACTATGGACTGAACCCAAGGCCTTCACGCTGAGCTAAGTCTCCAGCCCTTTTTGTATTTTTTTATTTTTAGACAGTCTCACTGAGTCGCTGAGTTGCCTAGGCTGTGCTTCAATTTGCAACCCTCCTGCCTCAGCCTCCCAGAATGCTGAGATTACAGGCATGCCCCACCATGCTCAGCCTAGAACTCACTTTTAAAGGAGCCACAGAAACTCTCCTCTTTTCTTTAGCAACTTTCTCCTATGTGTTCTTTGCCTTTGAACCACTGGATGGAAACCCACAAACACACCTTGGGCACACACTCACCTTCATTCAGACGCAGGTGGACCTCGCAGGCAGTGAAAAACCCAAGTCCTCACCTTTAGAACACAAGCTACACCTACTGAGTAACATCAGAACGGTGCTTCAGACAAATATCACCTCTGTAGGGACAAGGGCCCCCCGGTGATAGAAATACTGCCAGCTCTCCAGACCCGTGGGTTTGTGCCTGTGATGCTAAAAAAAAAAAAAAAAAGTGCCTACCCTGAACATGTAGAGAACTTTTCCTTTGTCCTTCTCCCTAAACAATTCAGCAGAGCTATTTATATAGAATTTACACTGTATTAGGTATTATAAGTCATTTAGAGATGATTTAAAGTGTACAAAACGATTGCATAAATTCTATGCTACTACAGTACTACACCTTTTTAAATAAGGGGCCCATCTCCCTGGACACCCAGGGGTGATTATATCTCCCCCAACACATCAGGACCCTTACAAACATTTTTTAAAAGTCAAGAGAAGGACTTTATTTATATTGGATGATTTGAAAGCCAAACCCAAGTCTCCATGCCATCCTTACGGTACTTCCATTAAATAGAACCCTCTGCTTTGTTGGGGGCTTTTAAAATCAATGCGCCACCGAAGCTTCTGAGCAAGTTAGTAAGGCAGATGGGCTGACTCACTCAGCGGCAGGAGCTCCTCCGCGAAGATCAATGCGCTTGGTTCAACATATCAAAACAGCCAGCAGTCGAACAGTAATACAATTAAAACACAGCTCTTCCTTAGCCAATTCTTTCTCATATTAAAAAAAAAAAAAAAAGCTACAGAAGTCTTGGGAGTGACTAAATCAAGACATAGCTGGATTCAGCGTCCGGCTCAACCCATGAGCACAGCTAACATTTGCTGAGCGCGTATTACACGGGCGCTGCGTACACACAGCCACTCTGCAGGGCGGATATTTTTAACCCACTTTGAAAGACAGACAAACTGAAGCCTAGAGCACTTTAGTGACTTTCCCAAAGCCAAAGTGACAACATCACCAGGGACAAAGTCAGGATTCAAACTCACTTTATCTCCAAACCCCGGCGTCACCTCCCCACCCCCCCCACGCCACCACGCGCTGGTATTTAGACACCGTCAAACTGGCGACCTCCTCTCCTGCCAGGACAGGCTCAGGACGGGCTGTTTTATTTCTCTCTCTGCCACTCCTGCCATTCTTTGGAAGCAGATCCTTCCCTCCGGTGATCCGGTGTAAGCCGCCTGGTTATGGTCATAACTGAGTCATTCTTCCTGTACGCTTCACCCGCCCCGCTTGCCTGGGCTCCCGGTGCTCCCAGATTCTCGGCTCATCTCTCCCGCTGTGAATCTGAACCTCACCTTGAGGTCATTTCCTGCCGGCCCCAGTGTCACCTGCGTGTGGAATTTGCCTGTCGATATTCTCTCTGGAAGATCTCTAATTGCTTTGGCCCTGTCAGGCTGGGAGCCCCATGCAGAAGGATCCGCTGGCTCACTCACCCCTGTCCCCCTCTGACCCTGACAAACGCTGACTAGACGAGCGGACGCTGTCATCTTTGCCACATTTCAAGGAAGCAGGGAAACTGAGGCACGGGGAAATTAAGGTGACTTCCCTACCGCCCCCCAAGGGGGGGGGCCCTTCTGGTAGAGCAACCTGGCTTTTCCCCAGCACCACACAGTAAAAAGGGATTTGGAATAACAAAAATGGATTTGAGAAGGAACAGCTCCCCGTTCCCAAGTCTCTGGCGTCAAGGGAGGAGACATCCATCCTATATATGGGCTGCAGGTGTGAATGACTCGAAAGCAGTGGAACGCAGCAGTTCTTGCTTCCCGCCTGCCAGGTCCTGGTGCCGGCAAGAAGAGAGCTGCTCCCGGCCTCCCTGGAAGACAGACAGGCGGAGCAGTGCGGAGAGGTCTCCTGCAGCGCCATCTTCCCCCCACCCGCACCCAGAAGGACTCTCCAGAACCCCCCGAGACTGGAGCCCCGCGTGTCCTAGATAACAGCGCGGATAACACAGCACCCACAGCTGGTGAAGTCTGCAGCGGCTTCCTAATGTATTAGACACCCACATCCGCCATCTCTGATTTTCCTTCCGCTACACAGAGACTGTGAGCAGAGGTTATTGATCTGATCAGAAGAAATACTGAAAAATAAGCTTCCGTGCCAAGGCACTAAGTGTTCCTGGGATGAGAAAACGTATTAAAAGTCAAGAAATAAAAACACAAGTAAAAATTAAAATGGCCAATGTCTATGTAGACCCACCCCGCTCCCAAGAATTGGGCCGCACCTTGAGGGGGGTTTTGGTTTGGTTTGGTTTGGTTTTTTAGCTTCAGGGTCATGAGGACAGGGTGTGACTTCAAATTTCTTGAGACTCTTCCACTGGGGGCTGGGGATTTAGCTCAGCGGCAAAGCGCCTGCCTGGCAAGCGCAAGGTCGTGAGTTCGATTCCTGGTACTGGAAGAAAAACAAAACAAAACAAAAAAAGACTCTTCCACTGAAAGTTTTCGAATCATATTTAATGCAAAGCATGCCATTAAACAATTCGCTGATCACTGATCGAGGAAATACATTCCCTCCCACTGGAGGGCATTTTTTTTTTAGCTCCCATCTGAACAGCACTGCTATTTCCCCCACCCCGGAGGGGGGATCAAAGACAGACTCATGCCAGGCCCAGGGCACACAGAGCGAAAGGAGGACGTGATTGTCTCTGATAACTTCATGCCTTCCTGACAGCCGCAGGTAGGTAGGGAGCTCCGAAACACAGGCTTTTTTGCTTAGGTGAGTCCATTTGCTCCCTGATTCAGGGAAAAGAAGGCCTGCCCTTCCCAAGAATTTTCCTGGTATTACATTTAATGTTAAAACTAGAAAGTGAACCAAGAGAGCTGGAAGGATCCGCTGGTTCTTCGATCTAAAGCTAGGGCTGAACCCGCAACGTGAGACAAAGAAACAGAGAGAGATGGGCTGGTGCCCGGTGCAGTAACCTGAGGTGTGAGGTGTAGTTGCCGGATACGAATCTGTCCTCAGAGGACATGTACCCTATCTGTGCTCTTCCCCAGAAATAGGAATCTTCTAGAGTCTCTGCCAGAGAGGACTGATGGGAGAGCTTCCGCTTTCCCACCATGCATCGCTGCTCCTCCACGTCACTTCCTGGCCGCTGTCTTTCACAAACTCCTGCCGCTGTCTTTCACAAACTCCTGCCGCTGTCTTTCTGCGTTCACATTTCTTTTCTCCCTTTTTCTCCCCCAAGCAAGCTTTCACTTTGTAGCTGCAGTATCTAATGAATATTGCTGAATAGCCCTAGATGTTAATCTGCCCCTTACCTCACAAACTTGCCTTACTAGAAGGCTGAGGCAGGAAGATGGCAAGTTCAAGCACAGCGCAGGCAACTTAGCGACTTAGGGAGGCCTTGTCTCAAAATAGAAACAAAAACAAAAAAGGTAACACAAAGTTTAGGCTGCTAAATCTCTGAACGCAGCCCAAAGCACCTCCTGTGTCTCTTCTGTCTGGTCAAGAGCACTCATTTCATCCTGACTTTATTAAGCAAAATCCCTAAAACAACAACTTCCTGGTTGATTACTGACTTTTTCCTGTTTTTTTGTTTTGTTTTGTTTTGTTTGCTTTTTCCCTCCAGCTACCCCCTTTTCCTGAACATGTAGAAATCTGCCTTGCTACAGAAAAAACGGAAGGCGCAGTGCTCTTGGGATAGGAAATTTTTGCGTCAAACAGTGAAATTCCATTTTCCTGCATAGTAATTTTTGGGTCACTACTTACTAAGCGAAGTTAGAATATTCTGCTGAAATCTAAAACTGTCTTCTCTGACAGGAAGAGCAACACTGTCATGAATGGACCAGGTTAAATTAGAAATTTAGTCTTCAGTAAAAATACTTAGTGAGGGCTTAATAGAGCTGACAGGGTAATAAGCGGATCTTAATCTATTGCCTAATCATCCCCTGATGATAATAAAAAGGTCATGCGCATAGGAGCCTCAGATCCAAAACATTTGCCACTGAGAAGATCTATGACATACTCTTCCCCAGGAAAGCTATTCCAATGTGCTGCCTCCTTCCGCAGAAGCAGACAGAGCTCCCAGAGCTCCCGGAGAGTTCTTCATTGGTTTGGACTATACTGGAGGTGCGGCACACACCTGTTATCCCAGCTACTCAGGAGGCTGAGGCAGAAGGATCACAGGTCCAAAGCTAGCTTGGTCAAACTGTAAGACCTTGTGTCGAAATAAAATAAAAAGTGCCGGCAAAGTGGTTCGGTATTTGAGTGCTTGCCTAGCACGGGTTCAATTTTTAACACTGTCACAAGGCAAAAATCAATGGTTTTGCCCACAAAGGTATGATATTAGTGGGAACAGTTGACTGAGGTAAGTACGGGGCTGTGAGTGGGTGCAGCGCTTATGCACCAAAACAAAGGTGTAAATACAAATATAACCCACGGCGGTGGATAGCTTGAATTTTATAGGAAATATAAGAGATTCAAGGGACTAGGGGAATAGCTCTGTGGTAGAGCCCTTGCTTAACATGCACAGCACTCTGAGTTCAAGCCCAGCACTACAAAAGGTATATGTGGGGGGAGTGATTCAGGTTTTTTTGTTTTGTTTTGTTTTTTTTGATGTTAAGACGGGGTCTCACTGAGTTACCCAGTCTGGGCTTGAATCCCAGTCTGGGATCCTCCTGCCCCAGCCTCCCAGAATGCTGGGATTACAAGCCTACCCCACCAGACCCAGCAGATTTAGGTCTTCAAATACTACAGATCTATAGGACAAAGGACTTAGAAGTAGCACGCAAGAAACTATACACTGTCTTGGTTACTTTTCTCTCGTTGCTGGGACAAAATACTTTACGCCCAAAATTAAGAAAGGGAAGGTTTATTTTGCTTACAGTTTGTGGAAGTTTCAGTCCATACTTGGCAGGTTACAAGGCAGAGTGGCACAGGGCAGAGGGCCACAGCTCATAGCCGCAGAACACAGCAAAAGCAACAAGCACACACAAGGGAGGAATGGCCCCAAGCAGCCTCTTCCTCTCCCTTACATATGCAAACTATCCACCCCAGGGCAGGTGTAGCTCTCACACCATAATCAATCAAACTCTAAAAGCCTGCCCCATCACCCCATAAGGCTTTGGGAGGACACACAGACACAAACCATAACATGCACCCGTCAAGTTAGCTCTGCCTCTGCTCTCCTGGATAGCATCACAGGCCGTGGAGAGGAGCTGTTCTTCAGTGGCGATACAGGTGTCAAGTTGAATAAAGGAAGATGCGGGTGGATCAACAACTGAACTTGGACACAGCAGGACCAAAGCAGGCACGTCAGCACCCTTGCATCCGGTAACTACAAAAAGAAGGCGTATCGGGGGAGTCCGGCCAGAAGCACTTCCTGTGCCCCGGCTTCCCAGGACCACTTCTATTTCCCCAGGACTATGTACCCTTGGCTAAAAATACAGGCCTTCATCTAACCTTTCTGCCAGTGAAATCACACAAACGTCACTATAAGCCAGGTGTGGCGGAACACGCTTGTAATTCCTGCACTCAGGTAGCTGAAGCAGGAGGATCGCTACAAACTCAAGGCCAGACTAGGTTACAGTGAGTTCAAAACCAGGCTGAACTAAATAGTGAAACACTGTCTCAAAAAATGGAAAAACAGGGCCAGGGGCATAACTGAGTGGCACAGTGCCTGCCTGGCAAGCACAAGGTCCTGAGTTTGATTCCCAGTACAAAAAAAAAAAAAGAAAGAAAAAACAAACAAACAAAAATTTCATTGTAAATAAAATAGCAATACATGCTGTTTTCTGTTGCTATAATACCCGAGACTGAGTGATTTATAAAGAAGTTTTGATACCCAACTCCACAAAATTAATAACGATAATAATTAAAACTCATCAGAATAGAAGTTCAAACTGTGCGTGGGGGCACATGCCTATAATCCCAATACTCGGGAGGCTGAAGCAGGGGGATCTTTGCGAGTTCGAGACCAACCTGGGCTACAAAGTGAGCTTAACTCCAGCCTGAATTGCAGAGCGAGACCCTGTTTCAAAAAGACAAAAAAAGGAATAGACGTTCATTTGGCTGATGGTTCTGGAGCCCGAGGACTCCCCAGGCAAGGTGCTAGCATCAGCTGAGTATCTGGTGACGGCCTGAGGGCCTTCTCGCTGTGTCACTATGGACAGGGATCACACAGCAAGACAGAGTGCCAGCCCACCTCTTCTTATAAAGCCGCTGATGCTGACGCCAGCAAGGCGGCCGCCTTCGTGACCTCATCTAATCTGAACTACCTCCCAAAGGCCTTACCTCCAAACACCATTAACATATGGACCCAGGGAGCACACTCAAACCTCAGCACATGCCACACAGTCAGTCTTCCAAACTCAGTCCCTGGATTCCTAAAACACCAGTCATAACCACATTCAGCCGGCTGCTGTCCTTTTAACCCACACATAACACTGATGTCACGGCCTCCAAGTTGCTGTCTGACATATAAACAATAACGACTGGACAACGGCAGCTGGTTGTAAAGCACGCGATAAACCGAAGCCATACTCAGGCTTATCCTCAGGCAAGCATGATTTCTAAAGTCTTTTTGTTTGTTTTTCTTCCGGTACCAGGGATCGAACTCACGACCTTGCGCTTGCCACGCAGGCTCTGTGCCACTGAGCTAAATCCCCAGCCCAAGCATGATTTTTAAAAACCAACGGCTCATCCCAACAGACATGACTACTGCAGAGTTGTCAGGTCTATGCTGAGCCTTCTTGCTGTTGACCACAGTTCCCTGGGAATCATCTGGAGGGAAAAAGAGCTTCAGAAAATGTCGCAAGCTTCAGACGGAATAAAGCTAGGAGTTTCTGGGTTCAAAAAGATGGAACATTTCAGATTTCATTTATTAAGGGCGGCTTGAAGTTATTACATAACCACATCCATGTAATTGTAATAACCAACATTTCATTAGCTCTGATTTTTGAGAGCGCTAAGGCAATAAAATAGAGCAATAGTAAAAGTTAACTACATGGTACATTTGGGAAAGAGTAATTAGTTTAATTTGGCCAAAGCACAGGATACAGAGAAAGGCAGAGGACGAGGCCAGGCGAGTCAGCCCAGGAGAACCTTAAACGGCACACAAAGGAGCTCCGCCTCTGTTGCAGAGCAGGTTGTGGTGACCCAAAGGATGCAGGAAATGTGACGTCATGCGCCTTGTTGTTAGGAAACTGACAGTCGAAAGGGAGTGGCGCTCAGAGAGG